ATTGACAGCAGCCCATATGAAAGATATATATGAAAAACTTATGTCACATATAATACTTGATCGACATATAATTTATCATTATAAATGTCGACACGTTCAATGTTATTAAATTTTCGGTTTAATGTTGGTGTGTTTAGTTTGTGCTAAAACTTATGGAAAAGCTTATGGAAACGCTTATTGAAAAGCTTATGGGAAAAGGCTAAATATTGACAAGAAGTGCAGGATTGCATCATGGATCTGGAAATAATTTATACACGTGCTTGAGAAAAATGCATTGTGCAAGTGTTGTTCGTGCATGAAAAAATAATGTCTTCTTTGCTCGGTCTCGTTGTGAGGCTTTCTCGGCCTGCACCACGTATTTTCCGATCAGTAGCCTTTCTCTCGTCTACTTCTACATTATTTGACAAACATCTCACGAATTCGCGAGAATTAGTTAAGGAAATGCTTAGAGAAAGGGGGTTACCCATAATTAACACCACAGCATCTGCTCTTAGAAAAGGAGATCTTAAGGCGCTTAAAGTGAACTTCAAACCTGTCGAATGCAATAACAAAATCGCTCCTGAAATTGATGGTAAGTGCCTGTGTTACTTTTTCTCTTAGCGAAACTCGTACTGACAATTCAAACATCGAGAATTGGGTCTCAGTGAATAAAGTTACTGTATATGGTATCAGTTTTCATTTTATATTCTTCGGATATTTATTTGTAATAGGGAAAGGTATAATTAATATACAATTATAAAGATCAAAGAACAGATTAACGAACTAAAACACGACCTCACATGATACAATAGAAGAATTATTGTACCAGAACTATACGCCATTAAATTAATATTATATTAATATACATAATTTCCTTTCTCTACAAGATGTTTACGAATTTTGATTAATATTTCTAGCACTTCACGTCTTCCTTCTGGCTCTGCAATATTCAGGCCGGCTATTGGGATGTTTTCTTCTGGCCACCTTAAACTTTCAACTGATTGTTCTTGTGGCAGACCTTCCTCACTAAGTTCTTCAAAATATGATGGAGGAATCACAGTCTTATAGAACGTAACATATGTTGAGATGATGCGAACGGCATATATAGTCTGTTCCATGGTCTGATCCGTAGTCTTGTTAATTTGACGCAAATTATCAGAAGCACAAGTGAGCATCTCACCAGCAAGTTGACATTTCCCATAACCTAGCCATTTTTCAACATTTTCAATATATTTATCCTGTCAGAGAACTTTTAAGTTAATAAATAAATATGGCCCTGTCAGAAATAAACCATACTAACCTCCACAACGATCATGGCC